ATAACACACCATAGATTTCCCTTTAAATTCAGCATCAAAGAAGGCAGATGCATTGCTTGCAATCTTGACACTTGTAGAAATAAAATCTCCAATTATGAGAAAAAGAGTCAGAAATTCATTCCCATATCATCTTATGTAAGAGTCACTCCAAAAGAAGAAAAGCAAACAGAACCCACTGCAGAAAGAAAAAAGATACATTGATTTTATTCAGGGTTATAGACCAATTTTAAGGGTCATATTTTCTTATTATTCCATCAATTAACAAGATGGGAATTAGAATCTCCAATTATAATTTTGAATGCTAATTTCTCCTTGAAATTATATTAGTTTTTGCTTCATTATTTTGAAGATCTATTATGTCCTCTTGATTGACCACTTTTTCATCGTCCCTGTTAATATTCTTCATCAGATTTTTGCTCACTGGCAATCTTTGCAATGGCAGCAGAAAACTCCCTGCCCAGAGGAACAGCAATATTCCAGTAAATTCCACCCTCTCCCCCCTGGCTTGTAGATAGCTGCCTTTTCATTGTGCCCTCACATAGCTTCTTCTCTGTGTGTGAAGGTGAAAGTTGCTCAGTCATGTCCGACTCTTTGTGACCCCATGGACTATATAGTCCAGGGAATTCTCCAGGCCATAATACTGAAGTGTGTAGCCTTTCCCTTCTCCAGGGGATCTTCCCAACCCAGGGTTCAAACCCAGGTCTCCTGCATTGCAGGCAGATTCTCTATCAGCTGAGCCACAGGGGGTGCATAGAGAGAATTCCAGTGTCTCTTTTCTCTAAGAACACCAACCCTGTGGACCTAGGACCCCACCCTTAGGGCTTCACTTAACTTTAATTACCTCCCCAAAGGTCATATCTTCAAATATAGTCACATTATGAGGCAGGGCTTCATCCTGTGAAGTTTTAGTCGGGGTTGGGGAGAACAGTTCAGTCCATTGCCAACAAAGTCCGTCTAGTCAAAGCTATAGTTTTTCCAGTAGTCATGAATAGATGTGAAAGTTAGACTATAAAGACATCTGAGCACCGAAGATTGATGCCTTTGAACTATGGTGTTGGAGAAAACTCTTGAGAGCCCCTTGAACTGCAAGGAGATCCAACCGGTCTATCCTAAAGGAAATCAGTCCTGAATATTAATTGGAAGGATTGATGTTGAAGCTGAATCTCCAATACTTTGGCCACCTGATCTGAAGAACTGACTCACTAGAAAAGATCCTGCTGCTGGGAAAGATTGAAGGCAAGAGGAGAAGGGGATGACAGAGGATGAGATGGTTGGATGGCACCACTGACTTGATGGACGAGTTTGAGTAAGCTCTGGGAGTTGGTGATGGACAGGGAAGCCTGGTGTGCTGCAGTACATGGGGCAAAGAGTTGGACACGACTGAGCGACTGAACTGAACATCTTCCCACATGTACAATTTCACATTTGTTATGTTTGGTGTTGATAGGCCATCTGCCATGGCAACACTAAATTACTCAAATTCCCTGAATTTCTAACATTTTTTCCTCCATGCTGTTGCTCATATTTTAGTTTTGCTAAGTTCTTGCTTCTCTATCTGGCAAACCTGCAGGTCAATCTCTTTTCTGAGGACTTTTCTTTCTTCAGGAAAAATGAGTGTAGTCTCATACATAACCTCCAATATAGCATTATAACATTAAACTTTAATTGATGGGAGATGCTCAATACATATTAATATTTTTGAACAATGAATGATACTAACATTTTTACAAGATCTCTCAATATTGCTGAGTGATTGAAACCTGGAGGGGGCAGGGGGAGGTCTGGGATGGATTTATTTATTCTACAGTTACTACTCTAGTAGGCAAGACTCCAGCCTCCATGACCTTTTGTGAGTTCCAAAGGGTGGATTCGAACAGTTGCTAATCAAATGAGGAGTACACAAGAAACCATCTGAGGCAAGATGGTGCATCAAGATTAGGAGACTGATCATCCCAGCCCTGCACAACCTACTCTTGTCAGCAACCCCATCTTTGAACCATTGTTATAAAATTCCTCATCAAATCCTCCCCGATTGAGACACATTGAATTATCAAGGCAAGGACCTGCTTTTCCCCTTCACCTGGCAATAAAGCAATAAAGCTATCCTTTTCTACTTCACCCAAAGTTCTGTCTCTGAGATTCAGTTCAGCTCCAGTGCAGAGAGGCTGAGCTTTCAGCGTCAACATGAAGATAGTTCTTTAGAAAGTTGTATTCATGGATTATTGTTATGCAATCGAGTCTTTCCTCCCAACTTTAAGGGATTACCTAAAGTAAGGGATAGGTGTTCCTGTCTCAGACTTTCAGGCAGAAATTTAATTTGAAGAAACAACTGATAATAAACATTAATTTTACTTTGAAGTCCATATATTTGAAATCTGTATAAGTGATGGCTACATAATTAGGAAAAATATTTTGTTTAAAATTTAAGAAAAACTGGTAAGTCTGGAAAACCCAGGACTCCCTAAGTGATGTGGGACTCTCTCCAGGACGACATATAAATTCATCACACCAGTCATCAAATCTGTCTGTTTTCTCCCTGGACTCAAAGTTCGTTTGTTTTCAGGCCATGTGCTCACCCACGGTTACTAATAATTGGAACATATTGCCCAGATAATAGAAAAGTCTAGTTGCTACGTTTCCCACTAAAAAAAGGAATTGTCCAGTGAACTTGATAACACTTTTCTCATAATTTAACTGACCCTGTACCTATATGGGTGATAATATCATTGTCTGAAATAGGCAGTCTGAGCTTAGAAAATTTCAATTTTAGTATATGTGCTGCCGAAGCGAGCACAAGTCTAAGCTTAGAAAATTTCAACACTAGCTATGTGTGTGTGTACGTGTGAGCTTAGTCACACACTCTTTGCAAACCCAGACTGTAGACTGCCAGGCTCCCCTGTCTATGGAATTTTCCAGGCGAGAATATTGGAGTGGGTTGCTATTTCCTACTCCAGGGTATCTTCCCGACTCAGGGACTGAACCTGAGACGCTTATGTCTCCTGCATTGGCAGGTGGGTTCTTTACCACTAGTGCCACGTGGGAGACAAATTTATTATCCTGTGGTTGTTTTCTTATTTGTAAAACAGGGACTCACCTCTCAGGATCACTGGCAAGATTAAATGAATACATGTAAAATACTCAAATCAGGGCCTAGCATTTATTAAATACTCAAATGTTAGTTATTATATTCACTATTATTAAAGTGTCACTTGGTTGAAATTAGTCCTCCATAACAATACTCTACTAAATGAGCTGTTAGGTCTCAGAATCCCACACAGACATCAAAGATTACAACCAACCAGGTATGCTTACCCTCCTTATGAAGGATGCCTTAAAATTTTGTGATCTAAGAAAAAACTTCTCTACTGCTGAAGGTTTACGTACGATCCAAACTAGGTATCTGATCCAATTGCTTAGGAACATAAAATGAGTTGGTAAAAAAAAAAATGGGAATGGGGTAGAGATAGCTCTGCAGATAACTGTTTAACCCCGAGTCCCTGTTCAATACTCAGTTATTGTTCTTTCAGAGTTGCAGATGTTAACGCTGCTATGAGGATTTAAATTTCTTTAGAAATGATAGTATATAACCTTTTCTGAACCAACACACAGCAACACCAGATTTCTAGAAGTCATATATAAATAAATTATATCAACACTAGACCTGCAACCAGGGTCTTTGGCTTGGTGTAATCTTGAAGCCTGCAAATTTCCTTGACCAAAGGTTTGGGAACCATTCTTGGCTTCTAGCTCCAGCTCAGCAGTGATTTGGTGAGATGTCTGTGACAATCAATGTAGACAGAACTTATCTTGTTTTTCCTTCCTCCTCGGTCTGTATCGACAAAACAATGTTATCAAATAGTTTTACTTGGGATGGTCACAAGAACTTGGGAACACTGCACTTCAGCCTTAAATGTCAGCAGAATTCGGCCACTTTCCCTACTGCTATTAACGATGACTCCAAGCACTTAAGATCTTGCGATCAACCTTCACTCCTTCTATGCCTATGTGTCAGATCTGCTTTACCAGAAATACTGTGGCTCTCCTTTAAAAAAAAAAGCCAGAAACCTATTACATCCTATAAGCTCCACTCTATCCTTGATCTAAGCCGTTGTGACATCACCTTAATTATTACAATACTCATTTATCTACGGCTGTGCTGGGTTAGTTGTGGTGTCGGGGCTACTCTTGGTTGTCCTGCATGGGCTTCTCACTGTGGTGGCTTTTGTGTTGTGGAGCATGGGCTCAGTAGTTGGTGTACCGCCTTAGCTGCCCGTGGCATGTGGAATCTTCCCAGACCAGGGATTGAACCCGTGTCTCCTGCATTGGTAGGCACATTCTTAACTACTGGACCTCCAGGAAGTCCCACAATACCTTTAACTCATCTTGCAGCTTCCACCCTTGTCCACATTATGGTCTTTGTCTCAACATAGTTGACAAGATGATCCTTTTTAAAGTCTTACCAGGCCACTCTTCTGTCCAAATCCTTTGGCTCCATGTCTTGCTCAGAGGAAAAGCCAAGTCTTTCATAAAAATCCTGTGTGATCCTGAGCTTCTCACTCCTTCACCAGCCTTTCTCATTTTTCTTCTCTTCTCTTGTGACCTCCCTGTGCCACGAATGCTCTTCCTTTCCTTTTTCACTCAACGGTCACCTCAGTGAGGCTTATCCTATTTAATTGTGCACAGGCCCCCCCACACACCCAAGCATTTCCCATTCCATACTCTGGTGTTCTCTAGAGGAGAAGTTCCTAAAATGTGATTCCAGAACTTTCAAATTCCGGTTGTGATGCTGATGGGGTCCAGCGACCACACTTTAGAGGAATCTTCCTCCTAGGCTCAATCTCTCTGATGGGAGTAGGGGTAAACTACTAAAACTTGAGGGGCCACCAGATTACCTAAAAGGTTTCTTTCAAATGTGACTAGTTGAATAGAATATATGATATTCCTTTTTTTATTAAGTGTATCTATTTCCTCCCTATTAGAATAAAACTCTGAGGCAGGGATTTTTTTTTTTTCTTGTTTTCTGCTGTTTCCTCATGCAAAGAACAATACCAGGCACATAGTCGCTGCTCAATAAATACATGCTGACTGACCAAATGGAAATTACTTAACCCTAGTGATATGTCAGAAAATTTCTTTCTTCTGTCAGATTTTATATGCAGAATCACAAAGTTAAAAAACCTTTATAGTTCAATCTCTTCCTGCAAGAAAGCATTTTAAAGTAATGGGCTGCAGAGACAACTGGGATGTCTTGATATTCAGGAAATTATCAATTTATATTATCATCGCAACATTACTGTTAATAACAATAAACATTTATGGAATGCTATTTGCTGAGTATTTCATGTGCAGTATTTCACTTTTCATATTGAACTCTAAGGTGGCTAGTGGTGTCACCTCCATTTTACAGACAGGAGTTGCTATGACAAAGCCCTCTTCTCTCTGGTTTTCATAGCATCTTCTCCTCTCCATGTGCTCTCCCAACTGGGAGCAATAGGTTGGGTGTGAAATGGGAGGTGACAGTTTTCCTCCCAGTGGCCAGACATGTTAGGATCTGAACTAAAATTTGCTGAGCTATAGTTTACATTAACCGTTTATAACATGAAAGATCATCCAAGTCATTTTTCTATTTCAATAAAGTTCCACAGAGCTATATCAGAACCCTGGAATTGCAGATGCAAATGTTGAACTCTACAAATGTTGTAAGAATTTAGCTGTGAAAGATATGAAAATAGTTTTCAGGAAGCTTATTTTTGGGGGGCTTGTTTTTATAATAATTTAGAACCGTTTATTCTGCATATTCATTCTATCAAACTCTACACAACAGCACTACACTTATGCAAAGAAAAACAGAAAGACATTATGAGTTAATGATTCATTTTCTTTCAAACAGACTGTTAGAACAGGGGTCAGCAAACTTTTCCATAAAGGAGCAAGTAGTACCTATTTTAGACTGGCAGGCTGTATAATTCTGTAGTCATGGAAAGCAACCACGCACAGAACATAAATAGATATAATTCAGTTTCAATAAAACTTTATTTATACAAGTGGCCAGCCCATAGACCACAGTTTGCTGACCCCTATGTTAAAAGATTCCAAATATTAGTGTAATGAATGAAATACACCAGATAAATTTCAGGTACATCTGCCAAATTTCTCTCATTTTTAAAACTGTGACTTTAAAAAAGTGACAATTTCAGCATGCAAAAATGGTATCTGGCTCTGCAATAAGTCAAACTAGTTAAAAGAAACCTTGTATTTATTTTTTACACAGCACAAATGCAGGTGACACAGTAAGTTCATAATTCCCCACAAAAAACTTATAAACTTAACAACTGAGAATCATGTTCTTATAATCTGCATCATTCATAGCTATACACTCTATGGAATCCATTCCATAGCAGCAGAGGAGAACCTTAACTCAAAAGCACCAAGTTTCCAGGCATTACTACAAATATCTTGTTTTCATTCTCTAATACATGCAGTCAAACTGCCTAGGAAGCAAATACCAATTCACCTTAAGTGTCAGCGGGTAAGGGAAAACAGTTGAGCAACCAACATTATTCTTACGTCTAGAACTGATGCTACCTCTTTACTTCATTATTTTTTCCTTTCATGAACATTTTACTTTTTAGTGTAGCTACATTTGAGTATAAACTGAAATTTGAATATAATCTCTTTCAGATTCATCTAACAGTTTAGAACATTCATATTTGTTTAATTAATCCTGAGAAAACAGAAATATGATCTCTAATCTAGAATATTCTGGCAGTCTTTATTAAAAGTTAAGTTCAGACTTTTATAGCAAAGTGATTATGTTCTGTTTGTTCAAATTATAGATTATAAGATTCCTTCATTTATTTAGATTAAGATACAAAGCTAATTCCCAATACATTTTATAGAAGTGTTTTCATTTCTTGAACAAGCAGGGTTCAGTGGGCATTTTAGGACCTTGCTCACATTAGAGAGCTATATACTCAGAGACTACTGGATCCACTAAATGGACAATGAAAACTGGATGAGGCTGCTGATGAATACTTCAATAGGAATCTGATACACAGACACAGATTTCATTGTTACAGTCAATGGAACTGAAATCTTCCTTAAAACTGTGCTCCTGATAGGCTGAAGATAGAGTAGTGGACTGTTAGTTCTTTAAGCCAAAAATGCATGGATGTTGTACAAAGGCTTCATTCTCTGCCTGTAGTCAGTAACTTGAGGGCCTTCTGCAGATTCTGCACTGCAGTGCTGACATCTTCATACTGCAAAGCACTCCCAGCATACTTGCAGTATTTCTGAGCCCTAGCAAAGTCCTCTGGTGTTAGTCGGATATCTCCTAAGAGAAAAACAGAGCAATGAAAACATTTATGAAGAATATAAAAAGTGTTATTTAGGTTAGGTAAATGCTTATACTCAAGATTACAGAAAATGTTTAAGTTTATATAAAAATATGAAGGTCTTTCCCCAACCCTTAGTTGTATCTGAATAAATTTTCTTTATGCTTTTAAATTTAATTATTAATATAAACTATACATATGCCAGTGCATAATGACTTCTATGAGATTTTCTTTCCAGAAGTCATCAACTGGAAGTCTTTATATATTGGCAAATTAACTGCAAAAAATTATATTCATATTCTGTATAAAATAAGGAAAGTAGCTTTGGTATTTATGTCAGAATTGCTGACATAAAAAGAGCAATAAAAGAGACTCTCTTTTTATGGAACAACACACACAGTCTAAGACATTCAAACCTCATTTGAACTAGAATATACATATAAATAAAAAATTATGTAACAAACTTTATGCAAATATTACATACATTATCTAAATTTTTTTAAGCATGTGAAGGGTTAAGGATTAACTAAAACATATTATTAAACTACACAATCAAACCTAAACAATCCTTATTAGTTCTTTGTTCAAAATTGATTCTCATCAAGCTTTCTATCTAGATACACATATGTTTAACAAGGATAGACCTAGGAAAATAATTTGGGTAAAAAAAAAAATACTGAAAATATTTAATCTAAGATTTATATTTGAATATATAGTTCTAAAAGTGAAATTAAAAACTGACTTTGTGTCTTTGGAAATAAATATTTTCTTTATAGAAATTTTAATGAGGACCCTAAGAACTGATCAGAAGGCTGGGGGTACACAATACAATGAAAAGATAATATATTTTGATTCCCTTTCTAAATGAACATATATAAATATAATTGCTTTCCACTTAGTTGCCTTTAATTTTGCCAGAAAATAAAGCATAAAATGAAAACTTTGACATTTGAAGTCCTACTTCAAAGTATGTAGCAATTCCAGGTACTCTGATACTAAATTCTTCTCCAAATTAATATTTTCTAAAATTTTCAAAATAGAATGCTAAAGTAATGTATCCTAAAGTTTCTAACCCAGTCGTCAGGCACTCATAAGTGCTGAATAACTTCAATGAATGGCTATAAAAAAGCCATATTTACTTTAAATTATTAGGAAATAATTTAAATAATTTAAAAATACATTAAGTTCACACAGAATTAAACATTAAATTTAAGATTTAAAATAATGTAAAATTAAAACATTTAAATTTAAAATTTTAAATTTAAAATAATGTACTTATACATATACAATGCCTCCAAATACTTGTTGAGTATTAAAGATTACAATCATAGTTGGTCCTCACTGTTGTGAATCACAGATTGTTGTTGTTCAGTCGCTAAGTCATGTCTGACTCTTTGCAACTCCATGAACTGCAACATGCCAGGCTTCCAGTCCTTCAGACCTTCGGGAGTTTGCTCAAACTCATGTCCATGATGCCATCCATCTCATCCTCTGTCCCCGGCTTCTCTTCCTGCCCTCAATCTTTCCCAGCATTAAGGTCTTTTTCAATGAGTCAGCTCTTCACATCACGTGGCCAAAATATTGGCGCTTCAGCTTCAATCCTTCCAATGAATAATAAGGATTGATTTCCTTTAGGACTGACTGGTTTGATCTCCTTGCAGTCCAATGGACTTTTAGGAGTCTTCCCCAGCACAACAATTGGAAAGCACTAATTCTTTGGAGATCAGCCTCTTCTATGATCCAACTCTCACATCTGTACCTCAAAGTCACTGTGGACAGGGACTGCAGCCACAAAACTGAAAAATGCTTGCTCCTTGGAAGGAAAGCTATGACCAACCTAGACAGTGTATTAACAAAGCAGAGACAAAAAAAAAGAAAAAAGGAGCGCCATCATTTTGTGAACAAAGGTCCATATAGACAAAACTATGGTTTTTCCAGTAGTCATGTATGTTCCATAAAGGTTGAGTGCTGAAGAACTGATGCTTTCAAACTGTGGTGCTGGAGAAGACTCATGAGCATCCCTTGGACTGCAAGGAGATCAAACCAGTCAATTCTAAAGGAAATCAATTCTGAATATTCACTGGAAGGACTGACGGTATAGGTGATGCTCCAATCCTTTGGCCACCTGATGAGAAGAGCTGACTCACTGGAAAGGACGTGATGCTGGGAAAGATTGAAGGCAAAGGAGAAGGGGTTGGCAGAGGAAGAGATGGTTAGATATCATCACCGACGAATAGACATGATTTTGAGCAAACTCCGGGAGACAGTGAAGGACAGGGAAACCTGGCGTGCTGCAGTCCATGGGGTTGAAAAGAGTCAAACATGGCTTAACGACTGAACAATAGTCCTCTGTCAAGATCAATCAACCTTGGAAAGGCATAGTTTTATCAATTAGGTATACAGGGATTTCTCTTTAAACCAAATAATGATTGTGTTTTCTCTAGGTTATTTCCCCAACTCCAAAAGATAATAATCTTATACTACTGTTTCTTGATTTATAAGTTTTTCAGATCATTTCAATCAGTTGTGTCTGACTCTTTGCAACCCCATGGACTGCAGCACACCAGGCTTCCCTGTCCATCACCAACTCCTGGAGCTTGGTCAAACTCATGTCCATTGAGTCAGTGATGCCATCCAACCATCTCATCCTCTGTCATCCCCTTCTCCTCCTGCCTTCAATCTTTCCCAGCGTCAGGGTCTTTTCAAACGAGTCAGATCTTTGCATCAGGTGGCCAAAGTATTGGAGTTTCAGCTTCAACATCAGTCCTTCCAATGAACACCCAGGACTGATCCTGAATGTTATTTTTTTTCTAGTCTTTAACAGTTTAAAAATGGTGTTGAAAGTGAAAGTGTTAGTCTCTCAGTTGTGTCCAACTCTTCGTGACTCCANTTTCCACTCCTGAGGCCAGTGCTGAGTTTTCCAAATTTGCGGGCATACTGAGTGCATCACTTTTATGGCATCATCCTTTAGGATTTGAAATAGCTTGGCTGGAATTCCGTCCCTTCCACTAGCTTTGTTCATAGTGATGCTTCCTAAGGCCCACTTGACTTCACATTCCAGGATCTAGCTCCTGGTGAGTGATCATACCATTGTGGTTATCTGGGCCATGAAGACCTTTTTTTTGCATAGTTCTTTCATGTATTCTTGTCACCTCTTCTTAATATCTTCTGCTTCTGTTAGGGCCACACCATTGCTGTCCTTCATTGTGCCCATCTTTGCATGAAATGTTCCCTTGGTATCTTTACTTTTTTTGAAGAGATCTCTAGTCTTTCCCATTCTATTGTTTTCTTTTCATTGATCACTTAGGAAGGTTTTCTTATCTCTCCTTGCTATTCTTTGGAACTCTGCATTCAGATGCGTATATTCCTTTTCTCCTTTGCCTTTCACTTCTTTTCTTTTCTCAGCTATTTGTAATGCCTCCTCTCTGCTATAAAAGGTAAAGTATTTAGCCACTTACACTCTTTCCTTCTTTCTTACCCTGTCTCCTCCTAAATTTATTATTTTTTTCAAATTTTTTAGCTGCTTACTTCTGTTTTCTCATTCCATCAACTCTGGAAAAAAATTTCAACATTTCACTTTTGGACACTCCCCCTAAATAGAACCTTCTTTTATTCCACCTTTCAACCTCTTGAAATACCTCACTACCTTCAACTTGTCAGTGTTGATTTATATTCTTGTCCTGAATAAAATACTGTTTGTGATAAGCCTATGCCATTTCAAGGAGAATGTTCTTTGTGTCCAAGGCAAACAAAATCCCTTTTCTTATATTTCATAATTCTATTATTGTTCAAAATCATGGCATATTTCAGTTTGCTTCTTACTTGAAATTTCTTGTACAATTTAAAATGTTTTGTTGGATATTTTCATTCTTCTTGGCAGACAAAATCTATGGCTTCTTATCCATTTCTTTCACATTCTACAGCTTTTTATTGTATATATATTGCATGGAATCCACTTCAGTTTTCTTAAAGGAGGGGTGCTTTGGTTTTCTGTTCTAATTTTAGAGCAACTGTTTTTCAAGCCTATGGAAAAGCTGTCAATGGAATTTTTCCTGTTAGGTGACATAAGGTTAATTCCACCATTTCTTACATCTCATATTTCTTCTCTTGATGGAGTATATCCTCTGGTAACTTCTTTAGAAATTGTATGTGGTAGGTGAAACTTCAGAACCCTTACATATTTAACAATATTTATTCTGCATTCATACCTGACAGTTTGGTTGGGTAAGATGGCAGACTTAGCATATGTAATTTTTTCTTCTGAAACCATATTAAAATGATAAGGTAAAAAACAAAAGGAAATAAATCCTAAAACTGAAGGAAAAGCAGAGAAGTCAAAGAGTGTAAAAACTGGAACAGGTAACTGACAAGAGATTTAAAGAAATTCCTAGAAAACTAGAAATTAAGTGGAGGTATGCCATTAGATGGGCTTCCCTGATGGTTCAGACAGTAAAGAAATTCTGCCTGCAATGCAGAAGACCGGGGTTTGATCCTTATGTCAGGAAGATCTCCTGGAGAAGGGAATGACAACCCATTCCAGTATCCTCACCTGGAGAATTCCATGGTGGGCTACAGCCCATGGAGTTGCAAAGAGTCATACACGACTGAGTGGCTAACACACATGCTGTTAGATAAGACTGGAAAAACATTCCAGCTCAAAGCATGTTTGTAGGAGGCCTTTATGTGGAGCTTACCTAGAGAAACTTCAGAGAAGTGGGGTGAGGGGTCTGTACTCCATCCGTCTAACAGCCCCACTCTGTCACCCTCTGCATATATGCACATCCTCAGCCCCACTGCTTTCCCATCTCTCACATGACACCCCAGGTTAAAAAGACAGAGAATGTCTCTCTAAAATCATGGAATTAACCTCCTGAGGACTGACAAGGTATGTGTGGTACACCCCTTGCCACTACCCTCCAAGAAAAAAATCTCCTCATCCATGGCTGAGATGCAGGAGGAAGCTGAATAGCCTGTTTTCACAAGGGAGAAGAGAAAAATCAAGTGGGAAAACAGACTTGCAGACATAACATCAGGGAAATTCAATAACAGCTACTGAAAGTAACCAATCAAGGCCTTCACCTTACATATAAAAGGACTAATCTCATCAGACATATGAAGAAAATTCTGAAAAAGACTAAATTAAACAAACAGAACAACCAAGTTGTTCTGTTTCTTTCCAGAAAAGCTAAAAAGATTGGAATTAATAAACTAATCACTTAGCCTATGAACCAATCAATCAAAATAACAATCCTCAGAGACTTCTATCTTCAACTATGGTTTCTCTCTTCTTAGATAATCTACTAACTCAGTGCAGGTAAAGAAGATTGTAATCATGAGGCTTCTCTGGTGGCTCAGTGGTAAAGAATCTGCCTGACAATGCAAGAAGACTGTAATCAAATCACAAGGTAATCTTGAACTAAACTAACAGAAGCTTCCATGATAGCTTTGGTTACATGTTTGTACCACTATATCCAGCAGTACATAAAAAAAAGGGGGGAATGTCTTTGGATTTAAATATTTTTGATCTAAGAAATAATCTTGGTTTATTGGAGAATTTGGTAAATACATTTAAAGAAGTGTGTTTCAAATTACCTAGACATTCAAATACAGGCATCCCAAGATAAAAGCACAGAACAATGCCCCCAAATAGGAGATACACTATACTTCATAAAACAGCTGACTTACCCTGGGAAACTGTACTGAAGAGTGCAGGATCAATGGCGGGAATAGTCTGTGGAGTAGGCTGGATAGTGTTACCTGTTACACCTGCAAATCAGAAAACTACAAATGAGTACAAAAATGTTACACTCTCAATCCTCTTAATTATATACTAGGAAAGCACTCAGAGGATCATGGAAGAATCTCATTACTTCACTTAATTACTTTCCTGAAATCTCAATGAACTGTAATTTGAAATACATCTTATTTGATGTTGGAGGCTGGTATAAGAAATATGCAGAAAAATAAATTTTGAGCATTTACACAGATGTGTTATTAGGCAATATATATTCTTATAACATATTTTGCATTTTCGACCACATCTACTACTTCAAGGTGCTTCTCAATAAAGCTTACCATATCTCTATAGAAGTAACAGATTCCCTTCCTAGCTTTTAATATAATTAAGTAATTTTGAGGACAAGATAGGATATAATTATGATTTAGTTTAACTTATGGAATGAGTCCCATTTCATCTCTGTCAATGAAATTTACAAATTATATATTCCAATTTTCCAGTTTATATGTTTTTAAGATAATATTTTACACACCTAAGAAGCAATTAGTTATGACTTCCTATTAGAACTTGTCATGATGATCATATTCAGTGGATAACTAGCATTCTTGATTAATGCTAAGTAATATACTAAAGACTATTAATCATCTAAAAAATTAACATAAACTGTTGAAACTTCCAAAGAGTTTCAATTAACAAAAATTATTCAATTAACAAGATGTTTCAATCAACAAGAAAGCAAATGAAGAAGAAAAGCTGATTACTCTCAATCAACAGACTCAAATGGAAAGCAGGATTCTTCTGCCCCAAGCTGAGGTTCAGTCTGAACAGGCAGTGTGTAGTAGGGGGCCTCCCAGGTGGGTCAGTAGTAAAGAATCTGACTGCCAAGCAGCAGATGAGAGTTGGATCCCTGGGCTGGGAAGATCCCCTGGACAAGGAAATGACAACCCATCCCAATATTCTTGCCTGGAAAATTCCATGGACAGAGGAGCTTGGCTTGCTACAGTCCATGGGGTTGCAAACAGTCAGACTATAACTTAGTGACTAAATAGCAGTAGTGTAAAGTAGGAAAGACACTAGGACAAGAAGAAAGTAACAGAAGAGAGAAAGAAAACAAATTGGGAAGTTTATAGGGGCAATGAGAGTTCTAGAGCTATGGCTTGACTTAGGTTCTCAAATATATCCTGCAGGTACGAATTTTACTTGAAGGACTTCTTGACTTTGAAGGACCTTATTATTTCCCACCCAAAGGAAAACAGTTTAAATATATACTATTTTATATCATTCAATTTTGTTTTGGCAAACTAGTTTCACTTTCACAGCCTTGGTGCTATTTTTATTAAGTCATATAAATCTTCCTTTTTAACTAAAAATGAAACAAAAATGTCCAAAGTCCGAAGGGGTATGGATGAAAAGTCAAGTACAAATTTTAAATAGCCAAAAAACAACAACAAAAAAAAAAACAAAAAAAACCCCAACTACCCCAAAAAGGGTGCAAAAAAGTGAAGAGCTTACCTCTCATTCTATTCCACTTGAGGACTATCACTAGTTTCTAGGGCACCCTTCTATTCACATAAAAATGTGTGTGTTTTCAGACCAGTGTATGCATGTATAATAAAGAAATGTACTTTGCTAAGAAATCTGCGTTCTTGCCTAAATCTAAATCTTCTGATCAAACTCCTCACTCTGTGGGGAAGGCATACTTCAGCATACGTGTTATTAATAAATTAATATTTTGCTAATGGTACTATGTCTGCATACTGCACTATTCTGTGCATTTTTCACTTAATATGCCTTAGCAATAATTCCAGATTAAAATATATAAATCTGCCTTGTTCTTTTTAATGGGTATATATAGTAGTGTTCCATTACATATGTGAACACAAAGTTTATAATGCTATCCATCACTGAGGACATTTAGGTTGTTTCCAATCTTCTGCTATAGCTAATACTAGCAAACAATCTTATACAGTGTATACATATATATGTATGAATTAATTTATAGGAAAAATTATATAACTGCAAAGTCAAGAGACACACAAATTTAAATTGACCAATCCAATGACTATGTTTTGCTCGATTTTAAAAATTGCTAACGAAATATGCATGTGTGTGTGGGGTTAGTAGCTCGGTCCTGTCCAACTCTTTTCAGCCCCAGGGACTATAGCCCACCAGGTTCCTCTATCCATGGAATTTTCCAGGCAAGAATACTGGAGTGGGTTGCCATTTCCTCCTCCCTGGGATCTTCCTGACCCAGGGATCAAACCCACATCTCCTGGGTCTCCTGCAGTGGCAAGGCCCTAACAAAATTTATTTAGTTATAAACATATGACATAATTCTCCCATAAAACTTGAACTTTCAAAGGCAAATAATTACACAATTTCATTTTTTTTTTTTTAAACTTAGAATGCAAGATTCGACAGGGCTCTTTAGAAATTACCTAGAGAAGTCCAGGCAGTTGAGGCAGCTGAGCATAAAAACACATGTTGGTGACTACAAATATTTTTCACACAGATCTTTAGGAAAAAAAGGGTAAGTTGACAACTCTTCACAGATAATCTGGATATCAATGTCATTTCTAAGTAATTTGTGTTTCTGAGTACATTAAAATCCTCCTAACAAACCCCTTTCTCTATGGAGAATGTAAGGTTTCCTTGGTCAGCATCCTGCACTAATTTTTAAATGCTTCCTTGCACATCTCCAGATGATTAAGTAGGCAATATTACTTAACAAGAACAAAAGAGAATTTACAGAGATAATCTATTATGTATTATGTGTGTGTGTTAGTCACTTCAGTCATATCTGATTCTGTGATTCCATGGACTTAGACTGCCAGGCTCGTCTGTCCATGGGATTCTCCAGGTAAGAATACTGGAGTGGGTTGCCATTTCCTCCTCCAGGGGATGTTTCTGATGCTGGGATGGAACCTGTGTCTCTTATGTCTCCTGCATTGGCAGGTGGGTTTTATACCACTAGCATCACCTGGGAAGACCATTATGTATTACAGTAAAATTTTATTTGAGTGATACTGAAAAAAGAAAAACCCACAAATAGTCTGCATTTATTAAGAACTCTGATCAGAGTCATTCAACCAAGGCTTGAACTGACAATATAGGCTGCTCAGCAAGTCTCATGCAGCAGTGAGAAGACACGGCTTCTCATCTGTCTCCACGCACAGGGACCAAGGCCTAAGTCCTTGGTAGCTACCATGACACATTCCTGTGGGGGCCTAGCACAGAGGTTCAACTAAGTGTATAAACACCAGTTAAATCAGTAAGAATGGTTTTTAGTTTACGTTAATTTATCATCTTAAAATGCCCTAAGCTACTTATTTTTCCTTCTTACCTCAATTTGTAAAGGTTTCATTTGTTATTTTGCAAATGGGTTATAGCCCATTATACTACAATATGTTGGAATGATGTCACCATAAAACAATACTGGGGAAGACAGAAGTGTGTTGGAAATTTCTACCACTTAACAAAAAAGAAATGTTAACAAGTAACTTCTGGCTAATTTTTTTTAGCAGATGGTTTTTATATAGCCTATTTGATGAGATTATATACACTCAAAAATTAAATACTTTATGACTTCTAATTAAGTACTAAATTGTTCTCCTGACTGCATGGTGTGGGAATTCTAGAAAAGGAGAAATGAGTGTTGGTAAGAAAACTCGAGAAGATGATGCAAGAAGTATAATTAAACAGAACCCTGAATGGCAGTAACATTTGAAGAGGCAGTGAAAGAGAAAGACATGACACGAGGAACACTGTAAGCAAACATAGGAACGCTGGGTTGAGTAAACTTCAGAATAATCATGGAAAAATAGTGCTGACAGAAACAGTCAGGCCAGAATACAAAACACTTTGAAGGCTGGATAGCAGAGCTCAAATGCAGTCCTTCTGTCACTTAACGAAAATAAAAGAGTGAAGTTTTTGATCTAGATATGAGGTAAGCTGCCTTTATAATTAAAAGGTTTGCATTAATTCTAAACTAATTTTTAATCTATTTAGATTTACTACTGAGATGTTCTTCCTTAATATTTATACAGACTGCAGAAAGCATATTTTAAGAGAAGGAAAAAACGGTAGGCTGTATGACCTCTATCTGATAGTACACAGCGGTAAAGGCACAAAGAGCCAAACACTTGGCTGTTTAATCACTAAACCCGCCCTCCTTGCACCCTCTTTGCTTTTCTGTGGAAGAACTAAACACTGTATATTAGTACATACTATTCTTTTCAGTTATCTTAAGGATTTCCCTTTGATAAAAGTACATCCTGGACCTTTATATGAGAGAAAGTAAATCATTCTTGAAGTGAGTAAGAGGGGAAACATCTGCTATATTTATAAACTGAAAATGTTATTTCATTTTCTATTGGGCTACTATGAACTAATTTTTTAAAACTGTTTTAAATGTAATAGAAAAATTTGCCAGCAAACGGTGATTTCCATATCTAAGCCAATCTTAAGGAGAAAAATATTATGAGACATGTATGTTTTAATCTGATAGAACTTACAGTTTTTCAGAGGAAGGGAAATAGAAGGGAGGTGCCAAAAACATGAAATCCAAAAGACTTGGGTTCAAATTCTAGGACTGTCAGTTATTAGCTATGCTAGTATGTATATTTCTTCAGGATAATGGCTTTTCTTTAGTTTGAAAATTAGGGATAGCAATATCTAATATAATTCTGTCAGCATAAGTTTGTGAAATAGCCATGATAATTATTTAAATGCTAAGTCTGTAAGAACATATACCTGATGCCTTAAAGCAATTCTAAGATTTTCAATTTTATGCCTCATGCTAAAGAACATAAGTGGGAAAAAAAATAAGGCTAATGCCACATTTAAATGGATTGCAATGAACTATTTATGGCAGAAAACTTCTTAAAATAAATAGAAGACTACTTCTTGATATCTATCTTTATGTCTGCATATTCTAAGCAGGAGTCTGTTAGTTTGAATATATGAAATTAATGTTCTATCACCTTCATTGTACAAAAACAGACACATGGTTTGTGTCTATTTTGTCCTATGAACCATGGTCATATGGTTCAACCTGTTACAACCCTCCTACCAGAAGTATACTTTCCATCTCATATGTTTGATATATAGACATACTGTAAATATGTAAAAATGGCAACCCACTCCAGTATTCTTGCCTAGGATATCCCATGGACAAAGTCTGAGCCTGGTGGGTGGTAGTCCATGGGGTTTCAAAGAGTCGGACAGGACTTAGCAACTGAGCACACACTGTAAATATATGCATATGTGCCTATACCATAACTCTGCCCTAAGATACACTGAGCAATAAAACCCTTTAGTCAACCTTTTCGTAAGGTCAATGCCTTATCCACAACTGTGATACTGTTCCTGATTCTCAAAATAATTTTAAGTGTTCATTAACTTGCTATTAAATATCCTTTCTTTGGCACACAAATAGGAAGGAAGGTTAAAAAAAAGGAAGCTAATTTGCTGAATACAGATTTTTTGTTAGGCACAGTAATCAATCTTCATACTTTTTCCTCTTTAATAATTGAAACAACTATGAAAAGTATGATTAATTTCATTTTGAAAGAGGAAAAACCGAGAGAGAGAAGAGAGGAGTAACAGTAGAGTTTGTGGTTTAACAAGGAGTAGAAAGTAGTAACTAATACTATGTGATTCCCACGTGCACTTTATTTTCACTTTGTCCTTCTGTAAGGATGACTGTGTTGGAGGCTCTAGGTCAGTGTTTAAACTTACTAGTATATTCGAGCAGTATTTATCTAAGGCAAATACATCTAAGTATGTAGCTGGTTTTGCTTATTTTGTTCTACAATGGAAATACTGAACATTCCCCCAAAGGTAATAAAATATTTAAAACAATGTTCCATGAAATTTTACTTACAAAACTAATGCAAATTGGTCTATTAATGCCATCACATAGACTATGAGGCAATGAAAAGTCAGGCAGGGTAAAATTTAGAGAATGATGATACAAAAGAGATCAGCATTAAAACAACCATGCTCATCAATATGCTTAAAGACAAAAATGTTTGTGGTATTTATAGATGATATGAAGTTGAAAGTTTTAAAACAGAAGGGAAGAGAAAAACAGGAGGGAAAAGACTAGTCACACACCTACAGTAGTCAAAATAGAAAACTTAATAGTTTCTATTTGACAAAAATATCAAAACAGAAAGCAACTTAAATGTTGTTCAACTCATGCAAAATAACCTAAATGGTTTGGGTAAACAGAAGCTGAAAGTCTGGAAGTCAATGAAGTAACGGTGAGTAAAAGAAATAGTAGAATCATCAAGGCTCAAAGATAACTTCTATTAAACGTTTTGAAAATATAGTTTACTACCATAGATTACTAGTAGGCTGAGATAAAAGTAAGTTTAAAAACAATTTATGGAAAAAAATTTTATTAAGTTAAGCTTTATTTAAATTACGGTTTTAAGTGCCCTTCTGTTTGGAAGTAAAGGTGATTCTCTGTCAACAATACAAGAAAACAGAGTAGCTGTCTGCAACTTTAAACAATTTATCTACTGACACTGACTTATTCTCGGAGACTAGTTTTGTCAGTGACAACGCACTCCAGTGTTCTTGCCTGGAGAATCCCGTGGACAGAGGAGCCTGGTGGGCTGCTGTCCGTGGGGTCGCACAGAGTCGGACATGACTGAAGCGACTCAGCAGCAGCAGTTTTGTCAGATGTTTTTTTCCATGAAAACAAGGTATATAGTACTAATTTATTCAAAGACAGTAGATATTGCTTCTGTGGTTTATTTTTAGACATGTTTGTAATATTTAAAAAAACCAAAACCTGAAACCCCTCCTTTCACTTGTCTGTAAATCCACTGCTACTGAGATTCTGTGCCTCAAAGCTGGCTCCTTCATTAATAATACCCATACTGAGGGTAAGGAGTCAAGAGAAAAATGGATCTTGTGATCACAGTAGGAGTCTGACTGACACTCCTATAAATAAGACCCATTCACTTCAGTGCTACTCTTCAGTAGCAGTGAAAAGGAAAGAAAGGGAGGGGAAGAAAAAGAAAAGGGAAACACACATGAAAGTACAGACACTATGTGGGGGTGGTGGTGGTATAAGTTGCATCTGACTCCTTGCAACTCTTAGCTCACCAGGCTCCTCTGTCCACAGGATTTCCCACACTGGGGTGGGTTGCTATTTCCTTCTCCACGGGATATTCCCAACCCAGGAATGGAACCTGGGTCTCCAGCATGGCGGGCAGATTCTTTACCACTGATCCATGGGGGAAGCCCATAGACACTATACTTATTAATAATATAAAGTAAATAGTAATCAATCACACATAAATATTCTTTCATTTTTTAAAAAATTAAAATACAGTTAGTATTAAAATTTCAATGAACACAATTTTGTAAAGCAAATATCTTTCAATTTAAAAAATATATAAATTAAAAAAATTTCAGTGAAAAGGATTTAATTTTTTTTGTGGGTTCCAGTGGAATTCAAAGACCACTTCATGCTTTAGGGCCATCATTATGAGGCAAAAATAAGATAAGAGGAGCAGTTGTTATTTACGAAAGGAAGAGTTCAAACCTGTTAAGCTTCAACTTCCTACCTGTGCTGTGAGGCACTTCTGCTGGGGTATTAGCTGGAGCGTGGGCACCAGGGGGAATCTGGATTCCAGCATAGCCGCTCGATGGCATGTTGCTTGGGTCATACGTTGAAGATGACGGCTGAAGTGGCTGAGTGGGCAGAGAGGTGGCTCCAGCATCTTCATTTTCCTCAACGTCTACTACATGATGTACATGAAATGTTAAAAGAGATCCAGACAGTTCTTGATTTATGATTTTGTCTTTTTTTTTAAAAACGGTAGTGTATGATATGGTTTTGGTAGAAACTATACTTTGAATTTTGATCTTTTCCCAGGCAGCAATAAGCGGTATAGTATTCTCTTTGATGCTGGGCAGTGGGAGCCACAGCTCCCAGTCAGCCACGAGATCACAAAGCTAAACAACTGATACACTCACAACCATTCTCTTTTTCACTTTCAGTATATAGTCAATAAATTACATGAGATACTCAACACTGTATTACAAAATAGACTTTGTGCTAGATGATTATGCCCAGCTGTAGGTTAACCTGGGCTAAGCTATGATGTTCAGTAAGGTAGGTTATAAAACGCATTTTCAAATCATAGTTATTTCCAGTTTATGATGGGTTTATCAAGATATAACCCCACTATAAGTCGAGGAAATCTGTATTTTGAAAGAAAAATGCCAAATATTCTTTTGATATACAAACATGACAGACCTTCAAGTGCAATTCTATTTAATGCAGTTGATAAGCAGCTTCTCTTAAAATAATTGTTCTAGTTTTTTCCTTTTCTTACAATAATTAGTTCTCTGGCAATATGCATAACATTTATTTAAATTAATACTTTCCAACTCTGTAAAATCTATGCATATATTTTTCTTAAAAGTAAATTCTTTAAACTCAGTCTTAAAATTTATGAAAAAAAAAAAAGGAGGACTTTTCAGCAAAACATACCACATTTATGCTTTCCCTAAGAGCTCTATTTTCTGATCGCTGCCTTTTACTCAAGATTTATTGTTTACTAGCTATTAAATGATTACCTGTGTCATTCAACAAATTAATCAACAAAAACAAAGGAATAAAGTTTCACATTGAGCTGTCTATGTAGAAAGGAGAAATATGAGTTAGCCACTTTTGGGAATTTTACTAAGTGAACGTGTAGATGTTATATATACTAAAATAACTTTTTCCCATATTAGAGAACTCTAACACAAACATCCTGGGAAGGAAAACAAACAAACAAACTTTTTAAAGAAACTGGAGAGTGAACAAAGGACAGTTAGAGAGTTTAGGATGGACATGCACACTCTGCTATATTTAAAATGGATAACTAACAAGGACCTACTGTATAGCACATGGAACTCTGCTCAATGTTATGTGGCAGCCAAGATGGGAGGGGAGTATGGGGGAGAAGGGATACATATATATGTATGGCTGAATCTCTTCCTTGTTCACATGAAACTGTCACAACATTGTTAATCAGCTCCACCCCAATACAAAATAAAATGTTACCAAAAAAAAAAAAACGTTGGTAGAAATTAGAATGAAGATGAGCCTTGACAGAAGAAATCTCACCAGGGAAGGTTTGCTTTCATGTCGCTTTTCACCTGAGGACACCCAAAAGTCTATGCAAAAAAAGGAGTTGCAGAGAAGTGGGCCTTGAAATGTTTGTATGAACTTGAACTAAATACCTATATGGCCCTTGAATTATGCAGGCAGACTCAGGGAAGGGTCTAAGGAACCCTGAAGAAAGCAACAGCCTTAAAGCTGAAAGAAAAGAGGGGCAGTTTAGGCAAGTTAACTGTCTGCTAGAACAAGAATCAAGACTTTGCAAAGGAAGATAATTGAATGCAGAGGAGCTACAAAGGTTATCAATACAAAAATTAGAGATATGGGGGGAAGGGAGAGGAAGAAAATGTGACCAGAGGCAGGTGAAAAAGAGACAGGAAAAGACCCTGATGTGACTCAGATATTGAAATTAGTGGAAAATAACTTTGAAGCAAATACTATAAGTTCAAGGCCATGGAGAAAAATGTAGTCATAAGGAATAAAAGAAGAAAAACTCAAAATTACCTTCATTAGTTTTTATTGAAGTATAGGTTAATGTTGACCATTTAAAAAGAATACCTGGGGAATACATGTAAATCCATGGCTGATTCATGTCAATGTATGACAAAACCCACTATAGTATTATAAAGTAATTAGCCTCCAACTAATACAAATAAATGAAAAAAAAAATACCATTTTGCAGATACTGAAACCAAGTGGATGTGGAAATTCAAGAGTTTGAATGTTAACAGATTTCCCTTCAGCTAAGCCTATATTTTTTCTAGAATGCTTTTTTTGTATCAATTGTATGACTCCTTCTGTACTTTTAGACAATATGGTAATATAGTACTGCTTTCAAAAATAAGAATACTTTTTTTCCCTCTTCCTCTAAACTAACAAACGTATAGTATTTATTTTTTGGCAGCATTGCACAGCATGTACAATCTTAGTTCCCCAACCAGGGATTGAACACATGTGCCCTGCATTGGAAGCTCAGTGGAAGCTTCTACTGGACCACCAGGGAAGTTCCTAGTACCTATTATTTTTTATTAGCTTTACTAGACTTACAGAACAACAGAAAATTAGACTTTTATTAAACATAGTATCTTTTATACCTAGCATATCTTGTAAAATTTAATAATACAAGGAATACAATGCTACATTGAAAAAAAAGAAAAGTCAGTTTTAAAGAAAAGTTTTTGAATACATATTCAGATTTCATGACATCCTCTTTTAGACCCATAAGCCATTTCTAAGCAGACACTGTTAGATGTTATGACATTAACACCTAATTATGACACCAGGCTACATTTTAAATTATTTAATAGGTTGAAAAGTATATAGTGAAAATATTCTCTTATATATTTTAAAGGATTATTAGTATTCTATAGCTAGCAATTTTCTGCTATCCAGAAGCTCTATAAAATAGAATGGAAATAATGAATAAATAAAAACTACAAGCTCAATTTAAGCTAATTTTGGGAAATTAAAACAAAAATTATATAGTATATATTTAATAATCTACAATATTAGAGAGGACCTAAAATAACCATTTCAGAACAAAAGAGACTATGATAGTGATCAAAATGTAACACTTCCTACTTTCAAGAGAAAAGGTTAAAATTTTTAGGATGAGAGGTCACTGATACTCAGAGTACCTGAAAAACAAAATTGATCATTAGGTATTTCAATGTATCTAGAATGATACCTCTGAAATACTACTGAAAAGTATAATGATATGTTTAAAACAACAAAGATATTTTCATTTTCAATGTGTATTTAAGAATTGAGACATAAATCAAATGTCTGAAATTATGAATATTACATGTATTTTTACATTTACTACATGTATGTTTATGTACCTTACTTAAAATAACAGAAGTGCCTCTGCTTCAGTTTCTAATCTAATGCGATTAGTAAAAGTGTAGAAAGGCTGGTTCCATCTTTGCTTATAATTCTTAAGCAATCCATTTTCCTTGGGTTAGCCAATATTTTACTTTAGCTTCACTTCTTCCTTTTAAACTGACAACTCCAAAATACCACTTTTAGCCTAGATCTTTCTTCTGAAATCTTGGGTAGAATATCTAATTGCCCTTGAACTTCTTCAAGGAGTAATCACATTGACATTTCACTAGAAACCAAACTGTTGGACCTTGATCTTGGATCTTCCAACCTCCGTAACTGTGAGAAAATAAACACCTTTTGTTTCAGCCGTCCAGTCTATGGTACTTCGCTGCGGCAGCCCTAGCAGATTAAGCCAACAGGAGACAGGAGGAGGAAATAGAGCCGGTAAAGTAGGTCGGTGCCATATCACAGTGAATCTTGCTTATTAGGCTAAGGATCTCAGATCTTTTCTTTTGGACAACTATAAATGACTAGTCGTTCTGTACACAGCAGTACTGACACATAACATTCTGACTATGGACAGCATTAAAGCAGGGAGAAAAGTATGTAAAACATTCAAAAATATTAAATGAAAAAGTGAGAAATAAAGTTGTGGCAATAAACTTTAAAAAACCCAATTTCACTGTTGTGATGTAAATAAGCCCAAAACTTAATCATGCTTTAGAACAGTCAACTTTAAACATTTAATAACAACTTAGTATTACAGTATTCACGCTGCAGTGTTAGTAAAAAGAGCCCAGGACTTAAGAGTAAGAACTCCAGTTCTGGTTCCCTTCTCTGTGGGTCTATGAAATTAGGACAGCTAAACCTGAAACCTCAGTTTCCTCTTCTGCAAACAAGAATAACATCAAGTGTCAAATATTTCTGAGGGTGTGCTATATATAAAAGACTATCTAAAGATTAAACAAGTGTTTTTTTCAGAAATAGCAGAAAATTCACTTGAAATGCTGTATGTTGCATCTCTAGAGTTTACATGTAGTAGCTATATGTACAACCATAGTGCTGCTTTTTTAAACTGAATGGTATCATAAAATTCTAAACAGACTTCTTAAATAAGTCAACCACCCAGATGCATCAAAAGAACAGTGTGTATAATACCAACTGTGTTAAGAAAGTGAGGATATATATTCCTATTTACTAGTAATTTATAAAAAATAACTTCTATAAACATATACAAAATACTAAAAAAATACTTCTTTTGGTTTCAGTAGAATCTGGGATGATAAAGAGTAGGGTGGAAATGAGAAATTCACTTAAGATTTTTTACATACTCTATTACAAATTTTGTGAAAGTATTACCTACCCCCCTTTCCCCTCCAAAACTCACCTTATTAAAAAATAAGTTTTCAGTTTTCTCTATGGTTTGGAAACATTTTATAGACTACAAAAGGACTGCCTGTCCCATGTAGCAATGAAATCTGATCAGATGCAGGAGAAAACCAAGCCATTCTGTTGTTGACACAAACAGATATTAGAGCAGTTTTGCCTTAATTTTTCACTTGTCCCTAAGGTTATAATTTTACAACTGATTTTGGACCTGATGAAGGAAGTAAAATGGCTTCCAAAAATTCTGAATAGTAATATATTGAACAATTATGATTCCACCAAATCATTTTACTTACATAAATACATACCATTATCTTCTTCAATCCCAACAGGCCCTGCTTGAGGAGTCTCTCCATTCTTTAAACAATTATGAATATATGTTGCCTTCCACCTTGCATACTTTCTGTGTTTCACATTCTAAAAGAAATATTTTTATGTCAATGTTAGACTGCAGTAAAGAAGTCAAATAAAACTATACATTATGATGACCTATATCATACTTCTAGATAAAACCTATTTTTGCATGGTTCAGCTCTGGAATATTCTGGCAATCTCCCCATGTCATCACTGGATTCTACCAACTGCCTAGGGCATGACAAACTTCATGAAAAGCTATCTTCCTCAAGACACATAACTAGTTCTCTCTTAAGGTTTCATGTTTCAGAAAAGGACTACAATGGAACTATGAGAGTGTCCCTCCAGTGAAACTTACAACTCTTAATGCATAGGAGATAGGTCAAATGTAATTTAAAATTAAATATAAAAGAAAACAACAATTTTCACTAAAGAGGGAAAAACTGATCTGTACAAATCTACAAAAACTAAGATGCTATAGTGGCCAAAGCAAACATATGAACAACTGACTGACAGCTGGGCAAACTTTACCTTTTAACTTGTGTTATTTAACAGCTCTAAATATCATTTACCTTAGTTCTAAAAAGGGGGAAATAATGTATCATAGGGTCGCTGGAAAGAGAACTGGAAAATCAGTGAAAAACCTGCTAGTTACCTCTTCTTTCTTAAGACTTTTTCTATATTCATTGATCAGTGGTACTGCTATCACCTGGGAGCCTGTTAAAAATGCACTCTTCAAGTCCAACTGAGACCCACTGAACCAAAATCTGTACTTTATCAAGACGTTCCTCCCTCCCCCAGGTGATTTGTATGTACAGGAAAGCTGGAGAGGACACATGATTTTGTCGTGTTGAAAACAGATGTAATTAGTCTGTTGTAAAGATCCATTAAGTCATCAGTAACTGCAAGTACTGCATACAGTTCAGATACTCAGTTGAGTATTCTGCAATGTGAGATTCTCTACATACTGCTATGGATAAGTGCTTCTCTGTAGCTAAAACGGTAAAGAATCTTCCTGTGATGCAGGAGACCCAGGTTCAATCCCTGGGTTGGAAAGATCCCCTGTGGAAGGGAATGGCAACCCACTCAAGTATCCTTGCCTGGAGAATTCCATGGACAGAGGAGCCTGGTGGGCTACAGTCTGTGGGGTCAGGAAGAGTCAGACATGACTGAGTGACACTGCACTACACTATAGACTAGTGGTGTTTGTCTGCGTGCTCAGTCACTCAGTCAGAACAGACTCTTTGTGACCCTATGGGCTGTAGTCGGCCAGGGCCCTCTGCCCATGGGCTTTCCCAGCAGGACTACTGGAGTGGGTTGCTATTTCCTACTACAGGGGATCTTCCTGGCCAGGGATCAAACCTGTCTGGCATCTCCTGCATTGGCAGGTGAATTCTTTACTACTGTGCCACTTGGGAAGCTCTAGGTAAGTAGTATATAAAAACCTCAAAAAAAAAGTAATGCTCCAAATGACTCAATTTGCATATTTAAATTTTCTTCTCTTAATAATTCTCTCATATATTCAATTCTTTAAAAAGGTCCATACTTTGATTCTCGTTTTCTTCCAGGTACAATTATAATTTGCTCCACTTCACAAAGAAGCTTTTCAGCAGCATCCATATTTAAAGTCTTCAGTTCTTTATTATTCAATTCACTCCATGTGGATCTTTCCTGTTCTGTTCTCATTCTTGTCACTCGCAAGGTCAGAGAACTTGAATGTGCCCAAGTCTTTTAATGGCAGGGAGACAGAGAACTTGAATGTGCCCAAGTCTTTTAATGGCAGGGAGACCACACGTGGCAGTCTCTACCTTACTTAATTTTAAGTAGTCAGTTCGACTGAGGAATTGCTCTTGCTAATGTCACCAACAGCCTATTCCACACGCTAGTAAACCCAACCAACACTTTCAGGCATCATCTTACCAAACTTGTCAGCAGCATATTAAACACGAGACCATCCAAGCTTTGTGAAATATTCTGTTTCTAGTTTTTATGACACTATATTCTGGTTTCCCAAACATCTCTTCTGGCTGCTAATCCTTTATCAGATCTCCAAATAATCCTAAATACCCTGTCCAAGCAGAGACTGTAATTTGGTGGGTTAAATCAATGCTGACTCATACAATTTTAAGTATGAATTATATTTTCCACATAATTCAATACTAGAAAAGGCACAGAAAATCCAAATTCTTAACTTCTTGTTTAAAAAATGGAAGGTCTAATAACATCAGGGCCATATTTATTTGGTACTAATTTTCTTAGTAGAAGCAGCCCCTTTCAGATGATGCACATAAGTTCAGATTTATCTATTCTCTCTATAACACCACTCCCCTCCCCCACCTCCCTCTCTAGTTCACATACCCTTATATCAGTTGTCATTTATTATCTCACAGTGGGCAGTCTTCACCCATTGTATTTCCTGCGATTCCTGCAAGCCTCAGGACTCCTGTCTTATAGCTTATTTTCTTACCTCTCCATACTCATTCTCATGGTTTTAAATACTACCTTTATCTTTATTCCTAAATTTATGTATCTAGCTAGAATTTGCTTCTGACAAATATCCAGTGACTACACCTGGATATCTCATGTACAACTCAAATTATTTTGTCCCCAGCTGTTCTCTCGACGGCCCCCTCCCCGCTGCCCCCGCCTCACTTCTTCCTCCACAGAATCGCATTCTCCCAAGTCAGAAGTCTTTGGGAATCAAGCTTTGTACCTTTCTCTCACCCTGTGTCTCTCTACTGACTCCTGCACGTAATTTATCAGGACCCCAGTTGATTATGCTTCTGATAACTTTCTAGAACTTCTGTTCTGTTCAGTTCAGCTCAGTTGCTCAGTCGTGTCCGACTCTTTGTGACCCCATGAATCGCAGCACCCCAGGCCTCCCTGTCCATCACCAACTCCCGGAGTTTACTCAAACTCATGCCCATCGAGTCGGTGATGCCATCCAGCCATCTCATCCTCTGTCGTCCCCTTCTCCTCCTGCCCCCAATCCCTCCCAGCATCAGGGTCTTTTCCAATGAGTCAACTCTTCGCATGAGGTGGCCAAAGTATTGGAGTTTCAGCTTCAGCATCAGTCCTTCCAATGAACACCCAGGACTGATCTCCTTTAGGATGGACTGGTTGGATCTCCTTGCAGTCCAAGGGACTCTCAAGAGTCTTCTCCATACTTCAAAAGCATCAATTCTTCGGCGCTCAGCTTTCTTCACAGTCCAACTCTCATATCCACACATGACCACTGGAAAAACCATAGCCTTGACTAGATGGATCTTTGCTGGCAAAGTAATGTCTCTGCTTTTTTATTTTTTGTCTCTGCTTTTTAATATGCTGCCTAGGTTGGTCATAACTTTCCTTCCAAGGGGTAAGCGTCTTTTAATTTCACATCTGCAATCACCATCTGCAGTGACCTTGGAGCCCCCAAAATAAAGTCTGACACTGTTTCCACTATTTTCCCCATCTATTTCCCATGAAGTGATGGGACGAGATGCCATGACCTTAGTTTTCTGAATGTTGAGCTTTAAGCCAACTTTCACTCTCCTCTTTCACTTTCATCAAGAGGCTTTTTAGTTCCTCTTCACTTTGTGCCATAAGGGTGGTGTCATCTGCATATCTGAGGTTATTGATAGTTCTCCTGGCAATCTTAATTCCAGCTTGTGCTTCTTCTGTAACAGCCCCTTAATCTGTCTCCTTTCTTGTATTCTTGTCTTATCCCCACTACACCTCTATCATTCAGTCTTCAGAGTAGAATGATCTTTCAAGATATAAATCTACTCATGTCAGTCTTTTTAATGGCTTCCAGTGTACTTAAAATACAAAACTGTAACTCTAGCTACAGATCCTACTCTACTTGGTTCTTGACTGTTTAATTTCCTCTAATGTTCTTATCTGCTCACTTGTCACCAACAAGCTATCCTGGCAGCTTTCCTGTTCCTAAACACATGGGTCCCACTCACTGTGTTCCCTCTGCCTTTTCCCCTTTTCTCACCTAGCTAACTCTTAAGCTTATTCTTCATAGATCAGGCTGAACATCATTTCCTCTGAAATGTTCTCCTGATCTCCTCAAAATTTTCTCATATTTTAGAAAATATTACTTACCACAATTTAATTACATTTTACATGTATGTTTATGAAGGCCCCCACACCACAACAGGCATACTCTAAAATATAAGCTCTTCAAAGGTAGGGTCTATGTCTGTCTGTTGTTAATGACAAATTAAGCACTTAGTTCGGTGACGAGCATACAGTAGCTGCCCAACAAATATACACATCTCAGATATATGATAGCTTAAATGATTAGGATGGCAGTTATTCTGTTTAATGTACAGATTTATTATTTGTGGTGGCATAGTGAGTACTAGGTTTAAGATGTTCAGTTAAATTTATTATATACTTAGGTAGAATGATTTGAAATATTCAGTGTTTGACTATTTTTGACATATAGAAACAGCACTATCACCTGGTTCAACTTTTTTCCCCTCCACTCCCATTCTTTCAGAATAAGCAATGTGCACTAAATAAAACACTGGGTTTCCTCACTTGTTTCACTGTTTCAAAATCCTGAACAATAGGGACTGAAGCTCTGCAAAGGGTGAATTCTTCCCACACTTAAGAGTCTCTAGGTTTGCATGTTTACTTAAATTGAGTATCTGTAAAATAACATTATTTAAAAACTATTACTATTAACCTATACTCCAGCAAATAAGTCAATATATTATTTCTGTTTTTAGGGAACTAATCATCTTGTTATGGATACAGAATTAAAATATAAATGAAAATTATTATAAAATAGATTAGCGAGGAAGTATTACAGATTTTCTTGGAGTAAGTAAAGCAAAGAGTTCCTCGAATGAAGGAAAAAAAATGGAATAAAGGATAACTGATAAAGCAAACAGTACTTCAGTTTGGTCTTGCAGGATGGATATGATGTAAAAAAATGGTGGAAAGCAATAATAAGACTATTCTATGGAGAAGTATCAGCAAGGTCAGAAAGGTAGAAACATACAAGGTGGACAGGCAATGAGGGAGAAGAAATAAATTTTGCCATGGATATAAGATATATATTAGAA